TTGTTGGTTTGAGGCACCATCAGTATCACTTGTGTTCTCTCATTTCTTGCTTTGGGAACACCAACCAAACCACCATGTTGGTTAGCAGAAGTCCCTAAGGACAATTATGTCTGCCCCTGCCCCCCCATTTTTCGCTTTAGGAACATCTTCAAACCATGATATGCTGGTTTGGGGCACCGATTATTTGTGCTCCCACATTTTTCATTTTGCGAACATCTTCAAACCAGGATATGTTTGTTTGAGGCACTGTCAAGACCACTTGTGTTTCCCCATTTCTCGCTTCGGGAACATCGCCCAACCGCCATATTGATTAGTCGCAGCCTTTAAAAACAGGCACAGCCTTTCAAAACAGTTCCCTCATTTCTCGCGCTAGGAACACCTTCAAACCATGATATGTTGGTTTGGGACAGCTCTCAAGGTCATTTACATCTCGCTTTCGGGCTATGGTCCCAAATCAGCATTTTCCAGATGCATTTCCCTCAGGAACAGACCCTGATTTCTCTTGGTCACTAAACAGCAAAAGTGTTTTGGGAAACGTGAGAAAAGCAACATTTCAACGATGCAGGAAATATAGCTCCGTAAACACTTGAAATGTAAAACCCCGACATCGCTTTTCCCATTAATGTGCTCTAGATCAGGGGTGTCAAACCTGGGCAACTTTAAGACTTGTGGACTTCAACTCCCAGAATTCTGGGAATTGAAGTTCACAAGTCTTAAAGTTGCCCAGGTTCAAGACCCCTGATCTAGGTTACTCGACAACACAAAAATATTATACTGTGACCGTTATCACATTTTAAGGTGACAAGCTAATGTGAATGCAACTTAAATATTTTTTTTTAAAAAAAGGAAAAAGCAGCTGTAAAGCTAGGCCAAGATGAAACAAAGATGTTTTCTTGGTGACAAATTAAAATTTTCAGAAGGTAAAGGAGGTCCCTGGTATTTTTTTTCTGTACCGCACAGGGCTCCCAGCTTAGGTCTTCTGCTCGAAGAGATCGTGGTATTCTTGGTTGTCCAGCTCCCTGTTGTACTTTTCAATCTCTCGGTTCGCCTCTTCCAAGTAATCGTTCATGAACTGGTCCATTACTGGGATGAAACCATTAAGGAGAAGAATGTCATGCCCTTGTTGGAGTCTGATTCTGAGGGGGAGACTGACAGGGAATGGGAGTGTGGCTCCGGTAGCTGTAGGGCACTCAGGGAGGAACAGAGAAGGGTGCAACATGGCTTACGGGGGAGAAAAGGGCCCTGATTCCCTTCATTAGCTGCAGCTGGGAGAACAGGATATAAATGGGGCGTTTGCACACAGCACCTTGCTAGAAGCAAAGTGTGCATTATCTTGGTCTAGGTTTTGGCATCCTCCCAACGGTGATTGCTGCGTTATCTTGTGGAAGTCTGCAATTTATTATCCTGGCCTGCTGTGTTAATGACTTCAGTGTGGTTTGTGTTGGGTTTTTTAAATTTCTAATTATCTTTACTTTGGGTTTGGACTGCATTTACTCCATTTGTAGACTGTTTTTGGAAGAGTTTGATCTCCAGCCAAGGATAATTGAACATTGGGGCCCAAGTTGGAGGCATTAAAGGGAATTTATTCTACTTTTGTGACTTTGTTATTTTTGTGTCATGCCCCGGGTCATTAAAAAGAAGAAGAAAAGGATTTCCAGGAAGAACTTGAGAAATGACTATAAAGAGGAGTAGAAATAGTCCTCGACTTGTGACCACAATGGAGCCAAAATGGGTATGTTGTTAAGTGAAACATTTCTCAAGTGAATATGTCCCGTTTTATGACTTTCCTTGTCCCGTTGGTTAAGGGAATCAGTGCAGCTGTTAAATTAGTAACCTGGTCATTAAGTGAATCTGGGTTCCCATAGGCCACAAAATGACTCCTGAACACTGCAACCGGTCATAAATGCGAATCGGCTGTCAAGCATCCCGAATGTAAATTGCATGACTGCGGGAAGGCTTGCAATGGTCGTTAAGTGTGAAAAATGATCGTGAGTTACTATTTTCAGTGCCGTTGGTAACTTCGGTCACTAAATGAACTGTTTTAAGTCAAGAATTACCTGTAGTGCTCGGCTTATGATCACAATTGGACCCCCAATTCAATCACCAGGAGACGGTGAGTTCTAGTCCTGCCTTAGGCATGAAAGCCAGCTGGGTGACTGTGGGCCAATCACCAGGAGACGGTGAGTTCTAGTCCCACTTTAGGTGTGAAAGCCGACGGGGTGATTTTGCGCCAATCGCTCTCTTTCAGCCCAACCCACCTCACAGCGTTGTGGGGAAAACAGGGGGAGGAAAGAGTATTAGGTATGTTCATCACCTTAAAAGTATTTATAAAAATTAATCTAAGTAAAATAAAGGAAATAGTGCCAGGCTATGCTGCAAAACACACTACATGTAACAAAAGATACATGGATGATAATCCATTTTGTCGCCAAAGAAATTCACAAACTGCGTTCCATTGTAGAAGTAGCCAGCGGGAAGTGGATCCAGGTGCCGTTTTACCTGGAATTCAGAGAGAGAGAGAGAGAGATTGCTGAGGGTGGTATCCATAAAACACACTCCCACTGGAAGTCCCTAAATGTACATTTTTAGAAATTTTGATCTGCCTAGTTTAAATTATTATATTAAAATAATTAAACTAGGCAGATCAAAATTGTTTTAATTAGTTTCCTATTGGTTCTATAGCCCAGACTCGCCTTAGAGGGAAGATGGCTGGCATACAACTTTAATAAATAAAAATATAAATAAATTGGGATCACGGGTGAATTTGGCCTAGAAACTGAGTCTTATGAAATGGCAACACACACACACAAAACAGTCTCTTAGTAGTATCAGACCCAGCAGAAACCAACATAAAACAGTAGGGAATTCAACTTACGACAAAAATGGAGCCCAACATTTCTGTTGCTAAGCGTAAGCATCTGTTAAGTGAGTTTTGCCCCATTTTACGACCTTCCTTGCCACAGTTCGGGGTTAATAATTTGGTTGTTATGTGAATCTGGCTTCCTCCGTTGACTTTGCTGGTCAGAAGGTCGCAAAACGGGGATTGCGCGATCCCGGGACGCTGGAACCATCATAAATACGAGTCAGTTGCCAAGCGGCCGAATTTTGACTACGTGACCCTGGCGGTTGTAAGTCGCTTTTTTTCCAGTGCCGTTGTAACTTTGAATGGTCACTAAATGAACTGTTGTAAGTCGAAGACTACCTGCACACAACTCTTAGATGTAGATTAACAGAGTTGGAAGGGACCTTGTAGGTCATCTAGCCCAACCCCCACACCCCGCCCCGCCCCGCCCAAGCAGGAGACCCTACTCAGAGGAAAAGCATGTGCAAACTACAAAGGCTCAGCAAAGGGAACATTTATCTACTTTTTTTTAATCTATTTTATATCCCAAAGCTCCTGAGGGCAGGACGAGAAGCAACGGATGGAAACTGATCAAGGAGAGAAGCAACCTGGAATTAAAGAGAAACTTTCTGACAGTGAGAACAATTAACCTTTATCTACTTTTATCTACTTTATATTCCAAAGCTCCTGAGGGCAGGATGAGAAGCAACGGATGGAAACAAATCAAGGACAGAAGCAACCTCGAACTAAGGAAGAATTTCCTAACAGGGAGGACAATTGGCCAGTGGAACTGCCTGCCACCAGAAGTTGTGGGTGCTCCATCCCTGGAGGTTTTCAAGAAGAGATTGGACTGCCATTTGTCTGAAATGGTATAGGATCTCCTGCTTGAGCTGGGGGTTGGACTAGAAGACCTCCAAGGTCCCTTCCAGCTCTATTATGATGGATTGATTGATACTTTTTTGCTCCGCTCTGCTTACTCAGCTGTTCCTGCCCAGAAGCCACTTGGCTCACTTACGTGAATGTTCTTGATCTCCTGAGACGTCAACATGCCCCGAGTCTTCAGAGCTTTTCTTTGTGGCTTCTGGGTTTGGGGGAGAGAAAGAAAAAACCAGTTTAGCTTATTTAAAACCCAAAGGAAAAACAAAGCCAACAACAACAACAACAAAAGAATAAGGTCGGATAATTGTAGGGTATAAGTTAGGAACAATTGTTTGCTTTGAGCAACTTTAACCATCATCTGCCAAACAAACCACAATCCGCCCAACAAACCACCATCAACCAAACGGATGCTCAGGGGTCCCAGCAGTTTCTGTTCTTGAAATAATGACCCATGATATGGAGATGGAAAGAGGAAGAATTTGGGAAAGAAAGGTTAGTCCTCAAGTTACAGCCGTTCATTTAGTGACTGTTCAAAGTTATAGTGGCACTGAAAGGCAGGAGGAGAGGCAACGGATGGAAACCACTCAACTAACTCAACTGCACTTTAAGCGGTATTTGATTCCAATTCCATTTTAAATCACATTTGATTCCAATTTCATTTTAAATCGTATTTGATTCCAATTTTATTTTAAATCACATTTGATTCCAATTCCATTTTAAATCGTTATTTTATTCCAATTCCATTTTAAATCACATTTTATTCCAATTTCATTTTAAATTGTATTTGATTCCAATTCCATTTTAAATTGTTATTTGATTCCAATTCCATTTTAAATTGCATTTGATTCCAATCCCATTTTAAATCGTTATTTTATTCCAATTCCATTTTAAATTCCATTTGATTCAAATTCCATTTTAAATCGTTATTTTATTCCAATTTTATTTTAAATCGTTATTTGATTCCAATTCCATTTTAAATCACATTTTATTCCAATTTCATTTTAAATCGTATTTGATTCCAATTCCATTTTAAATTGCATTTGATTCCAATCCCATTTTAAATCGTTATTTTATTCCAATTTTATTTTAAATTGTTATTTTATTCCAATTCCATTTTAAATCGTTATTTTATTCCAATTTCATTTTAAATCGTATTTGATTCCAATCCCATT